TGTGTGTGTGTGTGTGTGTGTGTGTGTGTGTGTGTGTGTGTGTGTGTATATATATCACACACACACACACACACACCGCACCAAGACTTGTGTGTGATGTGATATATATATATATATATATATATATCACAAACAGCTCACAAAAATTTGTCTATAAAAATTTACTTAACTGCACAGCATTATAAGTACAGTGAAACCCCGCTATAACACGATGTTTGGGGTCCAAAAAATTCCATCGCGATAAATGCAGGGTCACGGTATAGTAGGGTTTCAAGACGGTCAGTTTAAGTCAGTGGTCCCCAACGCGGTGCATTGATGTGCGCCGCCTAGTGCCCCTAGTGCCCAGCAGGGGAAAGGAGCCACGGCCTCGCGCCTGCCGGGGACAGAGAGCATCGGCGCCCACAGCCTCGGAGTTCTCTGTCCCCAGCAGGCGTGGCGCCACAGCTTCTCTCCCCTGCTGGGCACTAGGCGGGGGCACATCAATTTCCAGGCGGGTGCCATGGCATTGGGGACCACTGGTATTAGGCCTTAAAGGGGAGCCAACTTATGATCGCGTTATATTCGATTTTGCGTTATGGCGGGGCGTGTTATTGCGAGTTTTGACTGTACCTCTATTCTATGTGTACATAGTCTGCATTTTTAAGGGTGGTTGTTCTTGCTTGAGTGAGATAAAAACTGAAGCAATTACAAAAATAGAGCTTACAAAAGTGATACCTCTGTACATTCTGAATTTGGAAGTGTCTCTCTACAAAACAGCTAACATCACCAATACAACGTCACCTGCTGCTTCATCTACTGCTTCAAGTACTCCAGTTCTCTCAACAATCAGTACACCAGGTAACTTTTATTATTATTATTATTATTATTATTATTACTATCCGTTTAAGTATTTAAAAAAAAAAAGTCTTTATTCAGAAAAGCTTATTTGGAAATAATGTTATTTAGTAGGTGACAGGAAGTAGTGAAGAATAGTAACAGTGGGTATGCCAGAAAGTCTTGACCTTGTATGCCACAATTACCTTTATCAAGATGGAATATCTGTTGAGATGTTTCCTTGACAGTAACAAACACTGCTCAGTGAAATTTCAAAGTAAGTGAATTGGCCAAATTAAGCAGTTTGACTGCCTTCATTTCAGTCATATTAAGTATAAGCTGCAGAAGAGGAACTTGTGAAGTCCGGTGACTGAGTTTAATATTTTAACTTGCACTCCTGACATAACCCTGGGTTAAGGTAAAATACTCTAACGCTGTGTTTTTCAGTCTTTTAATATCCGGGACTGGCTTGCTCCTTCCTAAACTGTGTTGGGGGAGATCTCAGGGACTGGTGCTGATCCATGGACCAGTTGTAGAGAAACACTGCACTAACACATGTTGGGCAACAACAATAGGGTCCAACTTAAAATGCTAAATCTTGAAATTAAACTAACAAATTATACCACCCAATGAAATATATTCAAAAGGGGAGGTAGTTTTTAAAAGCCTATTCTTTTGGTGATGGCTACAATATTGGGGCCTGTGCGTTGTGATGAGATAAATCTAAATCTTTTAGTTACACATTGCTAGAAGATTTTATTTAACAGATGGGAGACTATTCAAGCACAGATTTTTGAGTTCTTTAATAAGGTCATTCACTAAATATGAGCAAAAAAACAGATTAGGGCAGGTAGCAGAAGAGAGGGTCTCACCTCATTAGGAAAATTATTTTTGGCCCTCTGTGGGAGTCCTGAGGTATCAATGATGGGCATCATTCTTATAGTAAAACAAAAGTGTTGGTAATGGTATTTTGAACAGATTTAGTTTAACTGGGATTCTTCCGTGAAATGGGGATGAAACCAGTTCTTACATGCAGTTCAAAGTAGCTTTTAGTTACTTATGGTCTGACGTACTCTAGTGTACAGTAAATGTTTCAATGAAAGGTACAATCTTCATACACCAGTGGCTTTCAACCATTTTTCATTTATGGACCCTGAAAAAATTTCAAATGGCAGTGCAGACCCCTTTGGAAATCTTAGGTATAGGCTGCGGATCACAGGTTGAAAATCATTGCTGTGAATGTTGCTTTGACAGATCCTCAAACCTGGGAGTACAAAGAAGGAAGTGAAGAATTGTGTTGGCAAATGTCATGCTTTGGGGGTTGTGAAGCATACACACTGCTTTCTTAATTGGTGTTAAATCTCAAACCTCTTACTGAACAGATTCATAGTACAAGAAGGAAAAAAACAAATTCTGTACTAATATTTACGGTAAATGTGACATCCACTTGTTAAACTATAATCTATTAATTTGTTGTTTAACAGGTACAACACATGCTACTGAGAGTCCCCCTAAACCAGCTCCTCACAAGTCTACATTTGATGCTGCCAGTTTCATTGGTGGGATTGTCCTTGTCCTGGGTCTGCAGGCTGTAATCTTCTTCCTGTATAAATTCTGCAAGTCCAAAGATCGAAACTATCATACTCTCTAGAACCTGTCATTTTACAATGGACTAGTAGCCCAACACCTGTAGTTCACTGAACCAAAATATATTCTCTGTCCTGTATGGAACACCACAGTTCAGAATATCCTTTAAATCTCCAAAAGAAGACTTTTTGAAAGGATAATATTTTTGTAACACTATACTTGGCAAGAGGTGGTATGAATCACCTCTGGCTCAACAGAGGTACTCAATATGCTGCATGAGTCCTTGTGATTCTTATTTTTCTTTAGTGGCTGCAGCTGTGGGACTTTTTTTTTTTTTAACTTGACATGCCAAATGTAGACTTACAATGATTCTTGTATTCAGTGGTAACACTGTCTTGAGTAGACAATCTCCTGATGATGATTGTGGAAGCTGATTTAATCAACCATAAGTGCAGTATCCCTATAATTTTATCAATGACTGACTTCTGGGAGTGAAATATCATTTGTGCTAGCTTGTGGCTCTCGTAGTGTACTGCGAGGAAGGTTAACAAAGGATTGTAGAAATAGAAACTGTCTTCATAAACTATCCTTTTGGATGAAAATAATGCCAAACCCATATTTTTCTACATGAGAATTAAAGATGCCAACCAGGAATTGTATTGCACATTTTAATTTCTTAAATTTGGCCTTTTCAGTTGTTATAACTGGAAGGGTGGTGAGAATATTTCCCCTCCATGTAAGAGGAAATAAAGTCCAGTGCCTTAAAGAATAAAAGATAGGTTGCAAATTCAAATGTTTGTGCCATTTTCATTTGTATCAAAGTTAAAGGCTGATGCAGTACTAGCCTAATAGAGTAAAGCAGAGTACACCTTTCCAATCTCAACATTCACTACAACAAAAACATGGCTAACATTTTATTTTCTGACCTTTTGAGAGGTTGACTTCTTTTGTGAATGAGGGACTGGGTTATTGGACTAATTTTGAAGGTGAACTAGATTTTCACTAGTCTCAATTTCTGGCCTGTAACAAGGCAAGCATAGGAAGGCCATAGCATAACTTCACATTCCTGACTTCAAAAGGGCACCAACTTAAATCACATTTGTCTGAAAAAATGTTATCTTCTGTTATTAGAGGCATTCAAGATTACTGTAACCGAGAAACAGTTTGCTTTGTGCATAGTAAGTTTCACTGTCCTCCACTGCCTACGAGCACTTTCTCCTCCTCTTTGTGTGGGCCTCTGATGCAGCACTATGGGAGTGAAACAATTCTAAGATAACATTGGAAATGGACTGGGCAGGCATAGCACTTGAAGCTACTTTTAACGATTGAAATTGACTAGATTTCAAATGGATGGTGTTCCTTATCCCCATTTTGAGGAAATTCTGTAGTCTTATGCAGCTACTGACTTGCATGATTTAAATGTTTACCTTAAACTGGGTGTTTAAACATTGACAGCATGATCACTAATTAAGTCATGGCAATGTAGGAGTTTTATGACTTAATAAGTAAATGAAAAAGCATTTTAGTTGCAGTGAGTTTTATTTCCTCATGCTCTACCTTGGAAAGCATTCACTTTGTTATGCTGCATAGAAAACTAAACTTGCTATATAAAATAATTGTTACCAGAGAATTGCAATTTAATGTACTCGTGACAAAAGCAGTCAGTCAGCTCAGGTTTATTAAACAGACTGACCACTCACTTCCAGCCATCACCGTTTGTCTGGATTGGATGGTGTATCCTTGGCCTTATATTGTAAAATCATTTAGTCTGTCATTCCCATCTCCTTAAATTGTTTCATAACTTAATTTGGGCAAAGGAACATGCTCTATGCACTTATTTCTATAATGTGACAAGACCGACCTCCCACTTTACATACAGTAGATATTCCCAGTCGTATTTCATAAAACAATTTTATTTAGTATTCCTAATTCTCTAAAAGCTGCCTCTAACATTTTGGTCTTAGAAACTTGCAGCAAAAGGCTACGGGACACTTAAGAAAAACAATGCCACAGTTAAACCTGGAGTTGATTAATTTAATTACTGTGTAAAATTTGGCTAAAATGCTTTAGTCTCTCAGTGATCTTGATTTATGTTAGAAAATGTGCTCATTAAGCAAAAACTTAATCATTTTTCAAGTGCCTTAATTGTTTTAAAAATCTGGCCTCAAATTGTTGGAAAAAGCGGGACGGGCAGTAACTTGCCTTAGTTACTAGATTAATCCCTCAGTGTCAGCAATTGATACTTTCCAGGATCTTAGTGCCATTGATGTCAATCTTGAGGAAGCTCTAATTTTGTAATGCAGTTATTGCAGAAGTATAGGTTTAGTCTTGTTCTAGGAAAGTGTAAGTTTTGTGCAGCAGCCTATATGCTTGCCTTGCTAGACTAACTTCCCCAAGTTGCTGATAAAATCATAGCTCAGACTTAGTTTCTGTCTGACAACTCATTCTAGGGTGCCAGATGTGTGCTTGGGCTGCCTTGCTATGGTTTTTGTTTTGTTTTTTTGTTAAAATTGAGACAGTTTCCTTGCAGAATTACAGTGCCAGTTAGTCTATGCTGGCTACTAGCATGTGACTAATAGAACTTTCAGGTCCTCTTAGTCATGTGTTTTGAAGTGGAAGGTAGCTTTCTTAAATTGTCTCCATGGAGTAGTTTTATTTGCTATTAGGCTGCCCCTTTAAATCAGATCTTAAGCACTGAACTGTAGTGACTTTTTTTCAAGCTGTTTATCATCTGACTTGTTCTTGAAACCACCTTGTGCAAATATATATTTATCAAACCTGGTATCTTATGAATGTTCCTTGCAGACATTGCTGTGTTGTTTGTATTTTGTCTTCAGTGGAAGAAATGCAAAACAAATCTCATCAGAAAACCAAATTTGACAAATAAAATCACATTTACTGAATAAATGTTTTGGTTGTATTTAGTTTGTAAATATTCTCTCTACTTTTAGCAACAAGGGAAGATATATATATATTTTTTTAAGTATACAGTCCTCGCAGCCTTTGCATTCAAAATAGCCACTGTGGCTACAGAAGTTCCAAACAAAAAATGCTGTGGAGAAATGAGGATTGACTTAAACATTAACGTGAAAGGATGATGACACAACTAGAATGAGGTCAAATGAGTGGAAGCATGAAATTGAAGCAGTGTACAAGATGGGTATGAATATTTGTGCCCCCTTCTCCACTCTCACAGCACTTTTTAATTATCTTTTAGAGAATTACTAATGATTCTTACATGGCTGCCTTCCCTGCTAGTTTCACTCTTATCCCCGTTTAGTTAGTAACTTATGAAATAGGGCATTGGTGGCTCCACTATTCAGACCCTGTACAGATGAGCAGCAGAGTTGTTTAAAAGCCATAGAATGAGAGGTTTAACAAGTATTTTCACTCTTCTGGGTGAATCCTAGTGAAACTGCTCCTGCAGAGTAATAGTCCTTGACACTCATCTTAACCCCCCAATACTGTAGTATCTGAGCCCCTTACAATTAATGTAGTTCTCCCCCCCGCCCCAAGAAGATTAGTACTAAAGTTCCCCAGCTGTAAAACAAGGATAAGAAGCTGTGATTAAAGTGCCCAAGGTCACCCAGGGAGAACGTGACAGACAGGGATTTGGCGAGGGCTCAAGCCACTGGACCACCCTTAATGCTATTGTGAGGGAAGGGTACCTGATGCTGGATTCTAATGTGCACTGGCAGAGTTTATCATCTCACATGGCTGAAGAGATGTTGCAGTTACTCTTCTTTTAGTGACTATTCCTATGCTAGGACAAAAACTATTGAATCCTACTGTAGTCAAGGCAAATTGTAATTCTAAAATGTTAGCTGCTTGAGGCTTTGCCCCAGCATTTGCCTCTAATAGTTTTAAAATCCCAGTATAGACAAGACAAGTTGTTGTTTTACACTAACATTGAACTTGAAGTGTCTTCACTATAGAATTACAAGTCAAGTGTTATCCCTCAACTGAATTTCTCTCCCTCCCTCCCTCCCCCAGCTGGTGCTTTTAACTTACCAGCTAGCCCAAGGGAATATGTGCTACAGCTTGAGGTAGCACAGCTCTGCTGCTGCTAACACAATTATTGTGCTACGTGAGTGGTGTTTTGCAGTGAAGACAGCCTATGAACTTCTTCGGAGCAAAGGGAAGAGTGAGATTCTAAGGTAGTAAGTGCTTTTAATTTGTACATTTTATTCTTAATGTGGTGTGAGTACACACCCTAACCTCTCCTCTCAGGAGAGTGGAGTCTGTTACTTGCATCCTGTGGAATTCAGGAGCCTGCTGCCATAGAAAACTACCCAATAATGCTAGCAGCATCATACTAGACAGAGGTGGTGGGTTTTTTTTTTTTATTTTAAGAAACAATCTGAGTAAGCTTCAGGGCTATTTTCTTAAAACATAGCAAGCTTCCAGTTTTAACTCAGGGCCACAGGCTATTCTACTTATAAACTCCTTCTGCACATAAATAGTAACCCTTAAAGGTGAAATGCTTAAGGAATGATATGGAAAAAAACACACCCACCATAACTGATTCAGACTTGGAAACATCACATCACAACCTTAACACTAGTGATATCTTGTCAGTTTAACAGTAGATGAAAAGTAAAATGTCCATATAAACAAATTAACTGGTCATTGCCACTATAAGGATATTACAGGTTAATCTTTACATTGTAATATGAAAATAAGAGCTGTAACACTAAAACCATCAGTAATTAGCCCTAAAAATAAATAATTCCAGCATGTTGAAAGCTGTTAAAGTAATATCATTGCTTTAATGGGTGAGTGAATATTCTATTTTTCACTGACTTCTGTCCTTAACTGTAAATACTGCTACTTGTAAACAGACCTTGGCCTTAATTGTCCTAATATCATTGGCTGCTGACAAATTATGGTACTGCTAAGCATATTCCATCCTAGCCTCTGTTTGCCTGGGACTCCCAGTATTAAAATTGTTGATATTTTAAATGATAAATTTATCTGATACCAGAGTTAACATAGGTCAAACAATGGGAAAGAGCTTGCACTAGGCAGTATGGCTGCCTTGTTATAAAATTCCCTAACAAACATTTAACTCCACTCAGGTTAGCTGTTACCATTCACAAGAGATCATGGAGGCAGTGTAGATAGTTCTCTGAAAACATGTGCTTAATGGAGAAATCATTAGGAAAAGGATAGGTAAGAGAAAATATCATAATGCCACAAAGTGTGCAGTTCAGGTCCACACCTCTCAAAAAAGATCCATTAGAATTGGAAAAGGTTCACAGAAGGGCAACAAAAATGATAGGTATGGAATAGCTTTTATATGGGGAAAGATTAAAAAGACTGGGACTGTTCATCTTAGAAAAGAGATGACTAAAGGAGGCTATGATAGAGATTTATCAAATCATGAATGGTGTGGAGAAAAAGTTACTTGTCCTTTTACATAATGTCATTGGGTGACCCTGGTTCTTGTGTTAATAGGCAACAGGTTTAAAATAAATACAAATACTTTTTCACCCAACCTGTGGAACTCATTGCCAGGGGATATTGTGAAGGCCAAAAATATAACTGGGTTCAAGAAAGAAAGGTCCACCAATGGCTATTAGCCAAGACTTTCAGGGATGCAACCCCATGCTTTAGGTGTCCTTAAACTTCAGCCAATCAGAAGGTGGGACTGGACAATGGGATGGATCACTTGATAAATTGCCCTGTTCTATTCATTCCTTCTGAAGCATCTGGCACAGGATACTGGGCTAGAGGGACAGTTGTTCTGACCTACCCTGGCCATTCTTATGTTCAGGTTTCACTTTTGCTCTTTACAATAGCAAGTGTGGCTATGGCATCTAAAGCATTTTGGCACCTAAAATCTATGAAACTAAGGTCTACATCTTCAGAGGTATTTAAGGCCAGAAGAGACCATTATTTCATCTAGTCTGATGAGTGTTATTTTACAGAAAGGTTAATGCTGTGAAAGAAAAAGCCAGTTAGAGTTGCCATCCTTTGTCTTTGAAAAAGTGTCATTGCTGGGGCTCTGCCTTGGTACCTAAAAAAAACACACCAGCTGAGAACCTGTAGTAGTACAACAGAGTCTTGTCATTAACTCTCATAGCAGCCTTACTTCAAGCTGGGACTGGCCTGAGCTGTGGCAGGGAAGCACGACTATTAAGCTGTTCTCAGATTACAGGTGAGATGATGACAGAAGAAGAGGATGTAAGAATCAGAAGCAAGAGCTAGGCAGGGGAAGTAGGAGAGGAAGGAGAAGAGAATATACACATGACAGCTGTAAAACTAGGCACATCCATTTTACTTACTTTATGTTAAAGGCACCAGGTGGAAACAAATGGACATTAATCTAAATATATGCAGATTATGGTGGTCCATTGGCAATATGGTCAGGCTTTAGTTCCAATGGCTGTGCATCTTAAGGCACAGACGAATCAGTGGATGGGCAAAAACAGCCCATGTCCACTCTCGCACATTAGAATATTAATTGGTTGAAGTACACAGGTAGACAGATATATGGCAGTGCCTGACTGAACAAGCAGTGTACAGTCCTGGAGCCTTAGAACTACACTATTTCTATGGGATCAATTCCACTAAATAACACAGCTCTTGTAAATGACACGTGTAGCCCATAGGCTGGCTTTTACTCTATTCACTGCCCTGCTTTTATTATTAGCTGTAATGCAAGAAACCCGCTGTATCCACACTTGCCAACTTTCACAATAAGCCAAAAATCAAGCTAATCCCATTTCAAAACCAGGCCAATTCCTAAGAACCCCAACACACTATGTGACTAGATCCCCCCGGCATGCAGTCTGGGACTGTGGTGGGCCCACTGTGCACCCCTGACTTTTCTCCCCCCTACCCCTGCTTGCCAGGAGCCGATCAAAAAAAAGAAGAAACAAGCTACGAGCCAAAAACTAGCCAACAAGCAACTTGTAAGCCAATTAAGGAAAAAAACACGCCCAATTTCTGCATTTTTTTCCCAGCGGTTTGGCATGTCTGTATCTTGTAAGACATTAGCTGAAGCATAAGTTAGCATAAGTGTGGTTAAGTAGGCTGTAACCCTTGACATAGATCAGCAGTTACTTTTAGATACTAAGGAGAGCTTGCTTAATGGTAGGAATTAGAATGTTCTACCACAAGGAACATGGAAGTAGTAACTGCAAATATGCTTAAGCAAGGGGTGACAGATATGATCATGAGCTGAAATGGTAGTTACATGTATCAGTATACTAATCTATAGAAGGAGGACACCTCAACATTGGTAGGAGGAGGAAATATATATATAAGGAAAAAGTGAAACCCCCCTACTGAATATGTTTTAAATATAGTGGCATCAGTGTAACATATTATAAAGCTTGCATTCCAGCCTGTGGGGTAGGAGAGAGAGATGTAGCCCTTGGAAGGGGCTAGAACGATGGCTACTCATGATGAGGAGGAAGGTGATGGCTAACATTTCAGGTCGTCCTGCAAGGGATGGTGTGAGTATATGGATGTGCAGATGTACATTCTGTAGTGTCACTCTCTATCTTACTGAGTTAGTGTGTGTGTGACTTTGCTAAATGTATTAATAAACTATTTGGAAATATAGAAGAGTTCCTAAAGTGAGAGCCATCGGGGTTCCCAACTATATAGTGATTTTAATAATACTGGGCCTGATCTTGGGACAAGAACCTGTCAACCCTCAAAGTGATACCTGGGAATTTTTAAGTAATCAATATAATTAATACCCACACTATAGATCAGGCTAACACACTCATCAGTAGGACAGGTGGAGTTTTAAGGCTTCAGGACTACACTGAACAGAGCTTTTCTCATCACCATATTTTAGATAATAGGGAGTCCCAGAACATCAGTTTCTGTGACAAGTGAAAGAGGAGGTAATAACTAGAGCTTGTTGGAAACTGCTGATTCACTAGAATTGAAACTTTTCACAGGAATGTGTCAAATCGGTAGAAATTTTTGATGGAAACCAGGTCTTCCTGGTTTCCTGCCCAGAATCCCCTGCTCCCTGGAATTTTTCAAAACATTGTTTTGATTCTCCAGAAACAACTTTTCTAAAATTACTTTGCACCAAAATTTTTGAACTTTTTGTTCGAATTCAAACAAAAAAAAAATTGTGAAAAGTAATTTTCATTTTTTGACCAGCTCTAGTGATAACTGAACAGCAGGATAAGCCCCTTCATCCCACTCCCCCTCTGAGAGGTTCCTGGTGTTTTCCAGTACTTTTCACGTTCTCCAGAGGGAAATTACTTATTTGCAAAGTATGCTGTACTCAGAAGCTTTGTTTTCTCCCATGGAAGGTTGGCCAGCAGAATGATTTACTTTTATATAAAACAAACAAAATTTCATAGCAAATCCTGGAATGTGGTTAATATTTTGGGGGTTCTCCATACCTGTGCATATTGCCAAATATGCACAATCTTTATAAAACAAAAAGCCTTTCGCAGTTCACACCAGTAAACGATTGTCAGGCCTTGTCTACACTTACAACGGGACAGCTGCCCCGCTGTAGCGCTTCGTGAAGATGCTGCCTGCACTAATGGGAGAGCTTCTCCCATCAGCGTAGGTACTCCACCTCCCCGACATAGCACTGTCTACACTGAGAGTTAGGTCGGTATAACTGCATCTCTCAGCAACATATTTATACCTCTATAAGTTTGTAGTGTAGACCAGGGCCCAGTCAGAGCACATGTTACTTTGTACATCAGTTTGGCTTTGCATAAATTTCATTAGCCTACTCCACGTTAGCCAGATCAGTTACAATGCATAGGTCTGAAAACACCCTCTGATTTTAATCAAAAGTACATTTCAGCTCACTTTTGGGCCAGCCTGTGTTCATGCTGCTGCATGAGGATGGGCGGTTGTGTGTGTTCAGCCAGGTCTGGTAAAAGAGCATCTATCACTCTGTTCTTCCATCTGCTGGGCACCTGCAATTGTAAGTGAGTGGGCTGTAATATTAACCCTGGGGAGGAGTCTATGCAGTAATTACACTGAGCCTGAGTAGATTTATCCTGATCAGCAACCCATCCCAGCATGTGCTACAGGCACATGCTTCTTCCTAGTTTGAACAAAGGGAAGTGGCTTGAAGAAGGCGGGCTGACTAGGAATGGGGTGGTTCCTGGCTGGAGAGGGGGACAGGATTCATTGTAAGACACCTCCTCTGCTCTTCTCAGAAGTCACTGACCCTGCCACAGCACGCTGCGTAGGTGGTCCTTCCTGACACATTGTCCCTTAGAAGCCTAACAAGTCCCTGGAAATCAGCCAATAGTGTATAAGAACTGTGAATCAGGTGTAACAGGAAGGCTTCAATTATATCACTCCCCCATTCCACTACTTTATCAAGATCTTTAAGGGGGATTTGACTGTTTATCCAGACCTAAAAGCTGATTCAACACAATTCATTTTTAACAAACTTCACTGACTTTTTTTTTTTTTTTAACCGCTCACTACCAAATCCACCATTACTCACAGTCTTTGGCCTTTCAGTCTTTCCTGATGTTATATTGCTACCTTTGGGATCTGGAGTCAAAGGATTTTGCTTGTAATCCCTGGGTAGAGTGGATGCTGAGATCACTGTGCGCTGGGCCCATGATGCAGAACCTATATTATAAATAATGTGGAGTTACAGCAGAACTTGACTTTAGCAAAAATACACAAAGCACCTGTTCTGATATGTAAACATCATAAAAATACAGATGTTAACAGTCATACAGAATTGTAAGCAACTTCTTTCTTAGTCCTGTCCTAACTGCATAGTGGTTCCTGTATGGTTTCTAATAGAATGTGCAGAATTAAAAATAGCCACAATATTTCTGCATAAAGACTTAATCAAAGCCCTGTCACTGGTTAGAGAAAGTCTCATTACTGTGGGACTCATACATATATTACACCATCTGTGGACAGATCAGTGAAGCAGATCTTTGCTGATCCAAGCTCTAATCTAATCCATTATAGGCAAATAGTTTCTCCAAAGCTCTGTTGTCATTATCCCTTAGATTGCAACAGAATCAAAAATCTAAGTCCATGGTTTCTTCAATTTCAAGCGTTAGCTTAGTTTTTTCCCCTTCATTAGGTCTTCACGCAGACAGAGACACTTCCCTAATTGACCGTTGGTCTGTTTAGGCACTAAGAAATCTCTGAAGCAGATGCTGAGTTTCTAACTGGCTACTGCTATGATCAGCTCTAAGCTTGGATTGTCTCCACATACAGCATGGTTAATATTCTGTTAGTAGCCACTGGCAGCTTGCCGCATGTCACCCTTGCCAATAGCCTTGACTGGCACCTAGCTATGTTTCTGAAACTTAATTATAGCACTTATTTTGCCATGCAGATACGACCCTAAGTCAGTGTAATTGAGATGGGTGCTCCTGCTCCTTCCCATATCTTTGTACAGCAAGACATCCCAGAATGCATTGTCCTGAGTGTTGCTGGTACTAATCTGTGTGCCTGTCCCCTATCCCCTGCTGAGGCAATACGAGACAGCAGGCCAGATTTTCTCAGAAAGCACAGATAGGCAGCGTGATGGACAGTTGGTTGTGCTGTGACTAAAGCATCTATGTGGACAACTCTACTGTGATTATTGTAACCAGATCAAATGAGGGTGTGGCTGTGGTTGCAATTACAGCCTAAATCGACAGAGACATAGCAACTGTTCAGTTGTCACCCCTAGATGAATATGAATATGAAAGGTTAGATAAATGTCTGTCAGGGATGGTCTAGACAGTATTTGGTCCTGCCATGCGGGCAGGGGACTGGACTCGATGACCTCTCGAGGTCCCTTCCAGTCCTAGAATCTATGAATCTATGAAAACACTAGAATGAAGGGTAATGCATACAATTACTTTAGGGCTTGATATTACAACTAAAGACAATACAGCCTTATTCAAATTAATAAAAATTATAAACCTTTGCACTCTGTGAGCCTGTGATAGTTATTCTGTATTGGTTTATTACCTGACAAAGGACTTCTTACGCTGCTAGCACTAGAAGACATCAGATTAGTGGACTTCTTCTTCATTCCTTTTTAAAGAAATAAATTACAACATCCATAATACACAATTAACATCATACTCATCAAGAAAAAGCTAGAGAAAAGCATGTCCTTTTAGTATTTGGGGACAGACGTCAGCGGAATGTCTGTATTTTGAGGCAGGCTCCATTTTAAAAAAGGGCTTTTCCTTGCTCTCCAGACAAGTTCTCCAGCTATGCAACAGGTTGAATAAGGGGAACTCCCTGCAGACCAAATACTTTGAAATGTCCACGCTGATTTTCACTTCTTTTCATCCTGTGTGTTTGATTTGCCCATAGAGAGCTATCTCTGGTTGGTTCAGAATGTACTCAGCCTTACTTGCCCATTTGGTATTTACACTGGCTGTATTTTTCATCTCTGCTAACACTGGAAAGGCAGTTTAATATTCTTTTTTCATCAACCTGTTTAAAGCACTTTGAATTAAACAGGTGTTATTAAAAAAACAGCTGGGAAGAAAAAAAATCTTTGTTAAAGCTTCAAAATTCTTGTCCCTTCAGTGAAGAGCTGAGAAAGCTCCAAACTCCTGTTCTCTTGTCCTCCAAAGAGACTTCCAGTAAAAACATCAGTATTTATATTCCTGATGATGCTAAGGTTAAAAAACAAGCAAACAACAAAAAAACAAAAAAAAATCCCCACCCCCAAAACTCCAAAGCCATCTTTCAGGCCTTCTTCACACATGATGAGAAAAAAAAAGAAGAGAGGAACCATCTATTTTTGTAGGTGGGGGTTGGTGACTATGCAGGCATGCGCCATTTTGGCAATCCCCATGGTGGTACAGTACCCAAGCCACACAATTAAGCTGGAAAAATCTACTCTCCTTGTTTAGATGTTCATGTCATTTTAAAAGAAATACATGTTCCCTTACCTGTGGGTGAGTTTCTCTGGGATGTTACAGCTTCCAAGTCATAAACCTGACACTGCAGTTCATCCACCCACTGGAAAGCATCCAGTTTTAAACTACGTTCTTGGATCAACTGGCTTCTTATCTAAGGAGGATGGCAATACCACATGAAGAGGATTCAGGTTAAAAAAGAAAAAAAAATCTTCTGACAATCCTCGTTCAAAGCAAAGTCACAGGCTAAAGGGCTCAAAAGGAGGAGAAGCAGATGCCTTCAGCATCAGAGGTGGTCACAGTTCGGCGGTGAATGAAGTAATTCCTAGATATAATTTTATAAAATGTGTCTGGGATCCTTCTGGAGGAGACAGTGATATAATTGGTATAAATGGTCATTATAACTATTTAATAAAATCTGCAGTTTCCAGCATTTTAAGAAAGGACAGTAGACAACCTAGGGCCTTTTCCCTCCTCACTCCCCTGAGCTCTCTATTAATAACTCTTGTAACCCACGCCATGACCAGCCACTTCCAGCCTCAATGCCATTCTGAATGAAAGATAGGAGTGAACAACAGCAAGTCATCTTTCCCTCAGCTCCTCCAAGGGCTGTGTGGCCTGTCTTCTCAGTGCCCTCACTCCCTGCCAGAACAAGGATCAAGAAATGAGAACCAACAACTGAATCAGACACTGCTGAGATGATGGCTTGGTTCTAGACAGGGTAACTGTTATAAGCCATATGCTTTCATGCCCACATAGGTCTTCTTCTTGGGAGCTAGCAGCAGCAGGGACCACTGTAGCACTAAAAGTCCTGACACTGTAATTGTTTTGTTTATCCAATACCACATTATTTATTTTCTCAAAGGCCAATTCAGCTACTGAGGCTTCTCGGCACTCAAAGGGTTACAAGTATTTTGTAAACACAACAAAAGGGTGCACAGCTGCACCATTTAGAGATGGGAACTATGAACTCATTGGCCTGTGTGCCAGGGCTGAATGCTTTGCTCTTCCAAAAGTCTCTTGATGTCATACACTCTTAATAAAGGCAGTCACAGAAAGTGCCAGCAGCCTGCCGAACTATTCCCAGCAAAATGCTATCTGTCATCCCGACTCTCCCAAATCGCGGTGGGTGCTTTCAATTGGACTGTTCAGGTGGTTGAAGAGAGAAATACTTTGGCCAGGTTAATAGGAGAGGCAGTCAGATAAGAACAAGGACATTTTATCCTATCTATGGTAGGACTGCAAATAAGGGTTGGAAAGCCACACTTTATACTGTTAGAGATTGTGGAGTGCATGAAGTGCAGCCAAGGGGATGTACCTGACTAAAATCTAATCAAGTGGTTTTCAAACATTTTCATTCTGCTGGTCACTTTGTAAGAGACACAAAGCACCTCTCATTGACCCACTCATCCACCCGACAACCCAATCCAAGCGCTGGACAACGGAAATTGTACTCATTTAGTTAAATCAGCTTCTAAATTGATTCACTTACATTTGTGCCAGTTCTTTTTGCAGACAGTCTTAAATCAGTCTAATAATGGAGGACATTGTTAAGCAATTAAATTAAGTTAAATCGATAACCAACTTCAGACTGTCCTTACAACATGTTGGCACTGATTTAGTTAAATTGATGCAATTTCTGTGTGTAGACTGGGCTCAACCCTGCCTGTGTCCCAAAATGTTTCATTCAGTGGACCATCAAAAAAGGTTCCTTGAACCCCGGTTTGAGAACCACTGGTAATGGATGTGTCCCCCTTAATACCTAATCATGTCAGATAGAAAGTAGATAAAGCAAAGGAATAATAAAATTTCTACATGCCAGCTATGTATGCTGTCTGCAATGGCTGTATACAACCTGTGTTATAGTATCAATGACTTGACAATTAGCATACATGCTAATTATATTTCTTTTTTTTTACAACAGTAAACATTTGGAGTGGAGAGAAAAATGACCTACCTATGGCAGCAACCAAGGTGTTGTGGTTTTGATTGTGTCTCTCTTGCCCTGAGTCAATGGTTTTGCCCTGTATTTGCTGGACTAATTGCAACAAGCCTTTTCTTTGTTATTCTACCATAGTAACGGGATTAAGATAGGCTGAAGATGAAAAATCATGTGCTTTTGTTTTATACTAAACAGCAGCTGTTTTGTGTATGTTTTGGCTGTCAAGGCACTCTTGGATCTACATTATACTTCAATAAATCTCCTAAGAGGATCTAGATTATCCCAGAACTGTTTAAACACAAAATATATAATCAGATAAGGTCAGTAAAATCTGCAGAAAAACAAACCAAGTAGAATTTGCCAAACTTTTATTGTAAGTGAAAGGCTTGTGCTGTTGGGAATGATTAGGCAGTCTATAATTTATACCAAATATAGTACTGCATGTTTGATTTCACCCAATAAGAACATTTAAATGTTGGTAACTTCTAAGTTTATGATGAAACTGCTGGAATGGATTTCCTCATTTACAGTTCACGTGACAGTGCAGGAGAAGAGAAAGAAGACTTAATATACCATTGGGTTAACTAGTAGGCACTTCTGAGCTCCTCCATTCCATTCAGTCATACCTCTCAACCTTAAATCTGCCAATGTGTGATCGAAGCAACCATAATGTGATGCAAATGTCTGAAACATGATATACCTGTGTTTTGTTACACATTATAATCTGTCAGTTGTGGTATAATATTTGTGGGGTTTTTTTGTTTGTTTTTTGTTTTTTTAAACTATAAAGCAGTTTTTAAGGATGTTTTTTCACTCATTAAACCAGTTGTTTAAAAAGAAATTAGGAAGGACAGAAATTCCAAAATGTGCAAACAAAGTACTAGCAGGACTTGAACCCTCAGTCTTCAGATCCCTAGTACAGAGCTAAAGAATTCCATGTTATCCTCTCTGTAGGCCAGCAGCTAGTGAGGGATGCAACACACATTTGCCAGTGGATTACACAACTACTTGCTAAATTATGATATAATGTTGGAGATCAGTGTTCCTGGGTTCTACTCCCAGTTCTGGGAAGGGAGCATGATCTAGTGGTTAGAGTGGTGCTTACAAATACTTAGGTTTAGCACATTGTGGATGAGTGGAGGAAATTTAGGCTTGCCATTTTAAACACCTGGGTTTTATACCCAATTCTGCCAGAAGTGACCTCCTGTGACCTCTCCGTTAGCTTATTTGTAAAATGGGGGGAATACTTGCCTGAGGACAGGGATTCAAGGCCATGCTCAATATTAGAGGTTGTGAAGTACACACAAATATAAAAAACTGTGAAAGAGATGAGCTTAGACCCCATGGTCTCCTAGCCCCCAACCTAGTGCACTGTTCCTTAGACCCAAAGGCATTCTGTGTTGAAGGGTCTGTCTCTTCAGAACATCTCCTAGGTTGGCAGGGCTGCAGAAGGAGGCGGCAATAACTCCCAAAATGCAGAGTATTCTGTGAAATCCAGGACACTGGCGGGGATGCATACAGTATTGATCAGAGAAAGACATGCAGCTGGTAACCAATACTGAGGCCTAGTACATGTCTCAAGGAATGCGAGCTTCCTTAGCAACATGGTACATGCTGAAGTGTTTAAAGGTGTAGTTATGTGCTTACCTGCCGCATTTCTTTTTTGATCCGTTTTTGCTGAAGCTGCACTATTTTAGAAGATTTCTCAGCATCTTCGGTCAGACATTGCAGCCTCTGTTCTTTCTGCCCCATGTCTTCCAGCATCTTCTCCATGTTTGCTGCCTTCATCACATCCAGCTGTTGCCTGCTCCGGGCTTCTTCAGTCATCCTATGTTCTACTTCCTGTAGCAAGTGTTTCTATGACATGGAAATAACACGTCAGGCAACAGAACTTGAAAGACTCATTCCTTTCTAATATATAAAAACAAGCAGAATTAAAAACAAACCAACCCTCAAACTTTCTGGAATCAGAAAGAAAATAGGTCAGAAGCCCAATTTTTTCTCCTTTGCACATCACCTTTAAGCAATGCCTGGAAAGGAGCTCCCTGCTCTGGTAAGTTACGTAACTTAAACTGCGTAACTTACATCAGCTTAAACCTCTAGTGTAGACAAGGCCTAAGTTAAACTTTTTTCATGTGGGAATAAACATTGGGTGTTCTTTTTCCCTCTTATTTAAAATAATTATCAGCAATAGAGTACTGGAGTTATTTTTTAATACAGGTATTTAGCATCTGGAAGATATTCTTAGGCTCTTTGACAGTTCATATCTCCATCTTACAGCTTCATTTTCATAAAATAACCCTTTTAAATCTTTGATTGTCATTTTGCCGAGGTGATGTAAATCTTATATATGATCCCTAACAGCTTCTATCTATATTCCTCTCTGACTACAACAGTGCCTGTAGAAAAAGCTCAAACCAATATATATGGCTTGGTAGAGTCAAAATATATACATCTTCAGCTTCAGTTTCCAGTTGTCCCTCAATTGTTTCTGGAAGTATTTCCCTCTTGAAAGGCAATGGGTAAAATTCTCTATTGAAGTAAGTGGTATTGAGGAGATGAGAATTTGACCCACTTCGTAGAATGAGTCAGGATAGTTATTTTAGGTACCTGCTTATCTAACTGTTCCTTTAGTCTTTCATTGTCTGCTTGAGATTTTGCCAGAGCCTTCCTTATAGCCACCAGCTGCTGACGAAATAAAAGCACCTCTTGTTCTGCCAGCATCTTGGCATTCAAACACTCTTCTTTGTTTTGAAGGGCCTCCTGTTAACAAAAAGAACGTAATAGAATTAAGGAATGAAAGCCATGGTCCTGTATTGTTAATAGCGCCAGATTACTTGAAAGGTGACCTGCAAGGGATTTTTAATAAGTCGCGGGAGTCCCTTTTTGTTTCTTTCGGATTCAAAAAGAAGGCCTGAAAAATTTAGGGGGGGGTGGGGGCCTTGTTTGATTTTGGGGCCTTTTGTATTTGGCGGCTTGTTTGGTATGTTTCTGCTCATTTTTTCTAAAGCCTGGTTTACACACAGATTTTGTATGGATAGAACTACAACTCTACCCCGATATAACTCTGTCCTCGGGAGCCAAAAAATCTTACCGCGTTATAGGTGAAACCGTGTTATATCGAACTTGCTTTGATCCACCGGAGTGCGCAGCCCCGCCCCCCCCGGAGCACTGCTTTACCGCATTATATCCAAATTCGTGTTATATCGGGTCGCGTTATACCGGGGTAGAGGTGTATTTTGGTTAGGTATGTGATAGGTATATATAAAATGTTACCAAAATATTCAAGGTTAGTACAGTAACTCCTCACTTAAAGTCGTCCCGATTAACGCTGTTTCATTGTTAGGTTGCTGATCAATTAGAGAACATGCTCGTTTAAAGTTGTGCAATGCTCCCTTATAACGTTGTTTGGCAACCGCCTGCTTTGTCCACTGCTTGCAGAAAGAGCAGCCCGTTGGAGCTAGCTGGTGGGGGCTTGGAACCAGGGTGCACTGGCAGCCCCCCTATCAGCTCCCTGCTCCCCTAAGTTCCCTGTGCAGCAGCCGCCCAGCAGGTTACCAGTTGCCAGCAGTTCAGCTGTCCCTCCCCCGACTGCCATGTGCTGCTCCTGCCCTCTGCCTTGGAGCTGCTCCCAGAGACTCCTGCTTGCCGTGCGGGGCGGGGGGAAGAAGGGGGCTAATGTCAGGGTGTCCCCCTGCCCCCTGCTCCTGCCCCCTGCTTACCCCATCTCCATAGAGCGGGGGGGACAGGGCTCAGGACAGAGGGAGCTTGCTGGCAGCAGCTGCTGTCTCAACTAGCTGATCTACTTAAAAAGGCAGTGTACTTAGAGTGGGGTCAGCGTACTTAAAGGGGCAATGCACATCTCTCTCTCTCTCTCTCTCTCACACACACAGAGGGTGTGTGTCTCTGCCATGCTGTCTCCCCTCCCTCCATTTGTGCTGCCTTGTAGAGTGTGAGGCTACATTAACAACGTGTTAACCCTTGAGGGCTCAGCCGAGTGCTAGTTCATCATTTAGCAGTAAGGCATTCCCTGGGGAAATATCCCACCCTCTGACTTCACCACTTCAGCCAAGCTTCACATTCATCATTGCTGTGTACAAGTATTAAAATGTTTGTTTAAGACCTTAAGGGATCCTAGTTTTCTGTGATTAAAAAAACCCAAAAATTCTCCAATAAAAAAACCAAACCATAAAATCCACATTTTTACTCAATTAAAATGAAACACTGAACATTAGTTTACCTAGCCACACTATATATAGGTATCAGTTGAACACAATGTTTTATTGATATATTTACAATTTAAGCAAGTTCAAAGCCTACCAATGCCATTAATCATTATAATAAAATAAAATTAATAGAATGATCCAGTCACAGTGCATTGTTTCTTTGCTATTGTTGATGACCCTACTATTTCAACCTCTTCATTTCTTTTCATTCAGTTTGTTTAGCATTTTCCACATGTTCTGCAATTGTCTGCCTTCATATGTAATCTACAGCCTGGCCGCATACAGTACAGAACAACACATTACCATCAACGTAAAATTTGTCCTTGCCAAACTCAGCAATATTTTAGTGATTTTTAAAGTTTTTGGCATCTTTTCATAACTTTAATTACTTATATCTGGAAGCTGAAGTGAAATTTGAGATGCATTACAACACAAACCCCTATATGCCACTGAGTAACCTCTGTACGCTGGAAGCAGCTTATTGGAGTATGCTTAGCTATGTAAATTTAAAGCACATTCAACAAAAATCAACCACCGGAGGGGGAGGTTGTGCACATTGAATAAGTGACACTGGTACTTTCAGTAAAATGTAGTTACTAGTTAATATATGTTTTTACATTTGCCATGTTTTTCCGTGGCAAACGGATTTCTAGGTTCCCTGGTCCTTAGCAATATCAGGAGTATAAAATCTGATCTTCCTTAGTTTTTTTTGGAGGACCAGTAGGAGGTATAGGATACATTTATTTTGAATTCTTAACATGTTATTAAAGGCTAACGGTGTTGAATTTTTAGCAAAGCCTTCCTGTATTCAAAATGTTAATCACTAGAGTTAAATAGGTGTTAATAAAACAAACAAAAGTTTTAAACAACCAGACTGAGTAAGAGTCCTTCACCCTCTTAACAGTTCATTCATGCTCTGGGTACATCTTCACTGCAGAGTTAACTCAGACTTTGACTCAGGTATTGCCCCCGAGTTTGTGAGTGTTTTAAATCTAGGCTAGCTGGCACTGCTCAGTGTATGAGCTAGCGCTCTGGTGCTGTTTTCACTCAGGCTGGTAACCTTCCTACTTTGCAGTGAGGCTGTAGGCTAATCACTCAAGTATTGATAGTCTTCCAGTGCTTTCCCACAATTCCCCTGTGTGTCCAGAAGCAGAGTCTAGTCCTTCCACAATTCATTGGGAAAGAATCAGAGCAGATCAGCTTCCTGCTGCACAAAGAACCCAGGGATTCGCCTCGAGATGGGTGAGCACAGCACCAATGAGGACACAGTAACTCAAGAGATATGGCTTTGCAGCTCATACCTAGGCTAAGCCAATTCAGGTGTTGACCACTCAAGTTAACTCTGATCTTCTAACCTAGACATGATCTGAATTTCTAATGTAATTAAGAACCAACCCTGCCCCTGAAAACAACAACAAACCCACACAGCCTCCACATGCAGGCCTCCTTCATACATACAAAAAGGCATGAGCCTAATTTTTCCCTTTGCAGATCTTTAAATTGTTTCCTGCAGTCCTTACTCGGGTAAAACACTCCCATTAAAGCTGAAGTAGAATCAGATCTCAATGTTTTCAACTATCACCTAGAATGTTAATTCATATATGTTTTAATTGAAATTAAATTAAAAGTGAAATCTTATCAGCAAGTTTGCAGACAAGCAGACAATAATACTGACACCTGGGATATAATCACCTGCAAAGAAAACCTCAGTAATTACAGGAAATAATCTGTCAAGGTACAATGATTAGCTTTATCATTTTGTCCTGCTTCAGCGAGCAAAACGCATTAAGAACTCACAGTACGGCTGAATATGAACAGATTGTCCTCAAGTTCACTGGAATCCTGGTGCAGTCCGATTCCGTGGAAAACTGAACATGGTAGATTGGGGGTGAATGTGGGCTATTCACAGTACTTCTCAGAGTTGTTATTTCAGACTGTCTGCTGAGTCAGGCAGACATCTCTGTTCAGGTTTACACTCTGTACAAATTACCTTTGGACTGTGAACAACCATCATTTACTTCTTTTAAAATGAAGCTTGGAATTTGGAGCACAAGATAACAGTCACCATGAAAAAGTACTGGCTTTTTAGCTGCTGCGAGCTGGCCAAATTTGATCCCTAGTTTAAGCAGAAAATAAAAAAAGACAAGTAAAAATGAAGGAATCAGGACTTCTCACCTTCTCTGCATTTCTCAGCTTTACAGAGAGTTGTGCCTTCTGAATAGTCTGCTTCCAACAGCTCAGGACTTTCAGCTTACACACCAGCTCCCCTAGTCTGGTGTTTTCATCCTGCAAGGCCTGCAGCTGCTCTTGCTAAAGACAACATTATTACAGTCACTATTAAGAGAGACTTCTTACAACGGCACTTTCCCTTACAGCAACCTGCAATGTTTTTACAATACATTTTCTCTCCAACTGAAGTCTGAACTTCCAAACCTTCAAACTTTGCAGTTTAAACCAGTGCACTTTTCAAAATGAATTTCAGTTACTGTACCTATGAGGGAACAGAAGTGAACACTGCCCACAGACAGAAAATAAACAAACAGGTAAACTGTAAAAATAAAACATCACTGAGATAAAACACATGGATTTTTCTGTGGATATCCAAATTTACCCAAATGGTGGTTTTAGGTCATATTCATTGGTTCATATTCAGTACCTATTTCTCCCCACTTATGATTTTCCTCATAAGGATGACATAATAGTATTATGGCAAAATTAGAAGATATATGAGAAGCTGAACCCTATTTTTCCTGACATTGCCCCAGCTGGGAGGCTTGTTGATGAAAACTGTACTCTTGAGATAGATCTGGGTGGCCACATTACATTTACATTTCCCTTCACATGCTTTCCCACTTGTTAGACCTGGAGGTGTATTTTTCATGATTTATCATAGATATTTAGACATAAGATTCTGGGCTGACAAAGGAAGACCAACTTGGTCTCATTTGACTTAATTGACAGACTGATCAACAACTCTATTCTTCCAAGTTTCCCACATCAGTTGAACTAGCCTTGGATATAAAAATGATCTAAATTTGTTTCTTTTCACTGGATTATCTTCTTCATCGGGGAGCTAAGGATTTGGCTGAATGCACTATTACTTATTATTCGTATTACCATCGTGGCCAAAAGCTGGTCGGCACTACATGTGGAATTTATGGTAGCTTTTTCTTTGGTTCTCAGATGTATAAGATTCCCTCCCCCTCCCATATTGACCTTTTGGAACACCTAATTTTCAGATTATGGACTAGTTATGGAGAGTTAGGATTACTTGATTTAGTGATTATGGCCCCAGTTCAGCAAAGCACATGAGTGGTCCCCATCGCTATTCAGCAAAGTGCTTACTTGCGATTAACTTTATGCACATGAGTAGTCTCTGACTTACAACTGGACTACTTGTGCTAAATTAAGCAAGTGCTTAAATGCTTTGCTGAACTGGAGCTGGAGCCTGTGTGTGTCTGCCTGTGAACAAGGGTCTATTCTAATGTTGATTCTCCTCCTAGATTTCAGACTAAAAGCTCCGAGAATACCAATTTCTTTCTTTCTCTCTTTTTGTCCAGTGCTGAGAACATTGTCTGTTCTAAATTATAACAATATCCTTTTGATTTTATGGTTAAATTCCAGCTATACATTTCCATTTCTACTTCAGATGGACCTGAACTGCAAAGCTCAGGCCCAGAACTCAACCTCTCCAAAGTTCACCAGGAGTAGGATGCAAGTTTTTGGGTCAGCCCATTACAGACACACAAGACAGTTGCCAAGTTCAGAGTCAAAACCACCAAAAAAGTTCAGTAGGTTTTATATCCAGACATTTGGTTTGGGCCCATAATTCCTACACTTAAAAAAACAAAGAAACAAAACAAACCCCTTCCCTTACTTTAGACAAATGTTCTTTCAATCCATCATCATCTTTAGTGGAACCAAATTTTTTCTTCAAATCAATCATATTGTCAACCCCTTCTTTTCTCACTTCACTAATGATCTCAAATACTTGTCGGCTCATATTAAGGCGATAGTCATCTAGCTTCCCCTGCAATTAGAAACAGAAGCCAACAGTATGGAGGAGGGAAGACACATGCATATGAACTTAATAAAACTATATTCTAAATAATTCTTCCATATAAAAATATGCAGGTAACTCATTGAAATGCATCTAGCAGAGCGTTTAAATGAATCAGTGGCTCTTTTTATAAGATATGCAAGACCTTAATTTTTCTGCAAATTTTTTTTTAACCACCTTTTAATGAGATTGTATTCTGCTCATCAGATGCTGGAAAAAGAGGAACATGGACTAGCAGTCCCCATGGAGTCCCTTGCACACAGTATTTTAGAAGGTATGAGAAGTATCTTAGTTCCTGCCTGAAAACTTTATCTGATAATTATTTCACAAAGTCATAAAGTATCAGAATGAGGAAGCAGATTTCTTCCTCTAGCCAGACATTCCAGCCCATGTCATTTCAATTGCATAGCTTTGTAGATAAGCTATCAATATGCACAAAATACATGTGTTTAATAGAATGAGTAGCATGTTGTAAGAACAAGCTTTTTGGTACAAAATGGATTCATGTTAGAGACAACAAGTGAGACAGTGGGGAGATGAGACTGCAAGTAATTCTGCTATCACCCTTGCCATCCTCTGGGGCATTAATGGGCTTGTGGATACCTCACAGATAATCCTGAACTAGAGCCCCAAGATTATGTATTGGATTGCTTCTAGAACAGGTTATTGATCAAGTGAGTAATTGTCTTACATTTCAGTTTAGAGGCTGAGATACCATCATTCATGCTGCATAGTACCTTACTCCTCAAACAGCCCCAGTGAAATCAACAGGAGGGACCATTTGGGAAGTAAGGCAGTACTCAGCATGAGGAATGGCATAACAAGTTGGCCCTAGGTCAGTGGTTCTCAAACTAGGGCTGCCGCTTGTTCAGGGAAAGCCCCTGGTGGGCCAGGCCGGTTTGTTTACCTGCCATGTCCGCAGGTTCGGCCAATCGCAGCTCCCAGTGGCCGCGGTTCGCCGCTCCAGGCCAATGGGGGCAGCGGGAAGCAGCGGCCAGTACGTCCTTCCGCGGCCTCTGGGAGCTGCGATCCACTGGGAGCTGCGATCGGCCGAACCTGCGGACGTGGCAGGTAAACAAATTGGCCTGGCCCGCCAGGGGCTTTCCCTGAACAAGTGAAGGCCTTAGTTTGAGAACCACTGCCCTAGGTTATTAAGAAAAATAATATACATTGTTTTAAAATTAAAATTTAACTTTTATTCTCACCACTGTAGCTAAAAAGAGCAAGTGTCCCCACCCTTTTTAATGGGATATTAGTCCCCTTTAAAATGTACCTTCTCTTCATCAGAATAGACCCACATACGTCCTTAGCTGAAAATTTCCCCAAGATACTCCCAAAGTACATAAAGAGATGAACAGTAATTCATCCATTCTCTTTAGCTTGTGGGCCCATTTTTCTAATTCATTTATTTCTATGCCACACATACTAGATAATACAATGGCAACTAAAAGGGACCTATCAGATACCCACTTGGTTTGTACTTACTTTTAGATGTAAACAAGTCACAAATAGATTCTGCACTAACGTTTCATATTCATCTTGTACTTCTTTCCTTATCTCCTCTTTGAGACAGAGATTTTCTTTTTCTAGATTAGTGAGTCTGGCTCTTAGAGCAGTTATTTCCATAATCATCTCATGACTCAGCTCTGCTACCTATCAAAGAAGAAAAATGTAAATCAGTGAAACTAGAGATGGGCCTAAACCAAAACCCTTGGTCTGAACATCCCAGAACTTTGAAAAAGTTTGGATACAGATATGAACCTCATGGCTTGAGTCCATTTCTAACTGAGAGGTTACATTACAGTAATTAAACAGTTCTGTAAAATCACCCATGTTTTGCATCTCTATTTGCTTTGAAGTTATTTCCTTTAAAGGGGCTGAATACAAAGGATCCCCAAGGTTCAGACCCAATGTTTTGAGGGTGCTAAGATGTATAACGACACATGAAAACCCAAGAATCTATTTGTGGTTATGAGGGGAAGGAGAGAAAGAGAGAGACACCGAAGATGAGCAATGAATCCAGTAGGTAAGAGGGATTGGGAGCAAGTATATTTGGGGAGGGCTGATGGAGGAAAATTAAGAAGTCTGATATTAGGAGAAAGAGTCTGTGTGGGGCCATGAAGTTTTGGTGAATCCTGATCCCACTTACCCTAACCGCCCCTATTCCTTGAAGATAGAAATCAGAGGAACTGCAGCTAAACTGTATAGTAAACTACTAGGTTGTAAGTTTCTTGGGGCAAGTAAAATGTCTTCTTATAAGTTTGTACAGCTCCAGGCACAGACTGCTTAATAAAGAATCAAATAAAGAGCAATGTATTGTTAGTAGGTCTCTTGATACTTGAAAACACAGCACCAATCTGATTCCTAGAGATGGCATCCACGTTAGCAGAAATGGGAGCACAACTAATGGAATGTATTTGTCCGCCTGGTTTGCAGGCTCAGGCAGGTAGTTATTACATGTATAAGTTCTTTCATTTTCATCCTTAATCTATTGCATTTGCCAACAGTTTGCATTCATACTCAATTGTGAGTACAACATTAGGAACTCCGGGGTCATTTTAAAAAAATTGATCCCAGAAGCCTTTATATGCAAAAAATATATAATATACTCATGGTGGCTAGCACCAACTAGTTTTATGATTGCCTGACACTTCCCATTATAGAACCCAGTTTTCAGTTGCTTATAACTTTGCCAAACTTTAACCATTTAGACCAGTGGTTCCCAAACTTTAACAACCTGTGAACCCCTTTCACTAAAATGTCAAGTCTCGCGAACCCCCTCCTAAAAATGAATATTTCCAGGGATTTTCTCCTTTACCTGAGTATAAATTATAAGAGCAGTGATCTTGGGAATATAAAATTTGTTTTTATGACATGCTTATTACACACTCTTTATTATTAATTATTATTTATCATTACAGTATTTTTATTACATTATGAAAACGGCCACACTCTTCCAAGATCTCACTTTCACAGCGTTTATCACTTTGAATAAGCCTGTTATAAGACAAGGCTCCTATGTTTCATCAAGGAGTATCAGATGTGAAACAGCATGAAGGTATTTAAGACACCAACTCAAAGAGTTCCTCCTACACAAGCATACAGGTCTTGAGCCAGGCAAACAACGCACGTTAGAACAAAGCTTAAACTTATTCTTCATAATAATTTTAAAAACAATACAAGCTGCCTATTTAATTTTAAAACCAGCAAAAAATATCCACCATCCTTTCCATTTCTTATAAGGAGTCTTGAAGTTTAAATCTCCTCAGTGTGATAGATATGCTTGCTTTGATCTGCTTAGCTCTTGGAAGTCCAGGGGCTCCGGGCTGCTGGGGCAACTCTGTCCGCCATTAGGGAATTTTTTCCTGAGAACCCCCTGTAACATTTTGCGAACCCCCAGGGGTTCCCGAACCCCAGTTTGGGAACCACTGATTTAGACTGATTTTTTCCATGCTGGGTGTCTGCCTCAGGTTGAATTCTTCTGGAAAATTTCAGCCAGAACAGTTCAGCCATTTCTAAGAATAAGGCTAGAATAAGAATTGCTATGTTAAAAAATTCTTGTCATCTTTTCTTTGAACAACTTTAGTGCCCCTAGCCTTTAGAGCATGGACTTTAAATTTGTCAGGGATGTGCCTTTTCCACCCTAGTGAAAACTGGCCAAAATGTGACCAATTTAGAAGCCTTTGACAAAAAAAAATAATCACAGTTTACACACTCTCAGTAGGCTACTTAGAGTTTAACAGATAAAATCTCTGAATATTCCAAGCTCACTGAACATGCTCAAGGCTCTCTCAGCTCCTAGTGCTGATCAGACTGTGCATATGCCATCCCCACAGAGCAACTGAGCATGCGCCAGCCCAGGGCTTCAGAGGAAGAGCCAAACGTTCTCTGTAATGGCTGATCCCAGTTGTTCTGAGCCAGAGTGGGGCCAGGTACTGAAACTGAAAGCAGGGAACCTGTCCTGTCCAGGACTCCCCCACCCTGTTGGAAGCCAGGCCCTGTGGAGGAAGAAGCCATCTGATTCAAATGCAGAGGGAACAAAGTTGAAGTGGTGGGAGGGAAAGGGGTAGTTTGGGAGAAGGAATCAGGAGACGGACTGGGAACTGAAGAGGGGGCAAGGCTAATACTGGGAGACAGAGGTGGTAGTGGGAGGAGGCAGCTGGAACAGGTTGGGTGGGGACACTGGGAGCTGGGTATGGAAGGAGAGGCTGGGACCAGTTGGGCAAGGAGTCTAGGACTGGGAACCATTGGATGGTGGGGGGAAACCAGGACTGGGAGTTGGTGAGGGAAACAGGAAAGGGAGAAGATTGGGAGCTAGTGGGATTGGCCGGTGGGGGAATGACACTGAGATCGGACAAATACCTGGGGCAAGGAGAGAGAGAGAGAGAGAGAGACTGGGATTGGATAGACAAAAAGACTGGGTTAAGGAGTCAGAGATGGAGTGGGGGTTAAGGCTGATATTGTATGAAGTGTCTGGGGAGGTGGACAAGGACTAGCAGCCAGTGTAGGGGCACAGAGACTGGCTGGCTAAAGAGACAGGGAGGAACCTGAGGAGTAGAGACTGGGACTGACTGGATGAGGAGAATGGGACTGCAATGAGGTGCTGGGATGGGGTAGAGACAGGACAGGGACAGACTGTAAGAAACGGGGCAAGAAGGGGCCACAATTTGGGGGAAGAGGCAGAAGAGTCTGTGCCCAGTAGAGCACACTGCTCTCCAGAGCCTGGAATGGAACCCAAGATTCCTGAGTTTCACCATTCCCCTGCTGTCAGCAAATATCTGTGAAACCCACTGGCAAAGTGTGTGTCTCATCCCCCACTAGTGCTGGTCCACACAGAGAATTGACAACCTACTACTGCCACCACTTACTCCATTAGCTCAAGTTCAAGGGGCTGAACCAAAATGTTCCAATCCTGCTGATGAACCATATAGGTTTCAATATGATGCTACATGGTGGAATTTCCGCCCCCCTCTCCCCCAGTTTGTGTGATTTCCTAAGTGCGTGCTCTAATGCTCTGCCCCTCCCCCCCATACACCATGTGTTAAAAGAACATTATTAAGGTTGCAATGTCAAGCACTCAGAAGTTAGGAAATGCCAGAATCAAGGTTGCCCATGCAATCTTAATTCGACCCCCTTGAGCATATGAATTATGATACAGTCCTTAATTATATGATCACATACTTTTTTTCCCCACAGGACTGGGGCTTCATCAGTTCATCGACAAGACTGATCTGCTCTGGAGAAAAATCAGGGTTGTGTTGTAAAGGAGACTGTTATCAATAGGACCCTTGGCTCATTTATTGCAGAAGGCTTATAGTGAATGAGGCAGAGGATTGCAGAAAGAGTGTAACAGAGTAGCTTGCCCCTTTAAGGTCTAGAGGCCTGGAGCCAGCCAACCCTAGTTACTAAGGAGGCACACATGAGCAGGGATCAGGTAATTCCCCTATAAGAGCAGCAGGAAGCTGCAGAGAAAGGAGGATGCTCAGGGAGAAACAAGCAGAGTCACTGGCTGCTGGGAGCAAGTGGACTTCAGCAGGTTACCTTGAGTTTTCAAGGACAAGGCTCCAGGTAGGGAAAACCTGGGAGCAGAGACTTGATGGGGATTTGCGAACTTCTATTCTGAATATTTTCATACACTAATAAATCCAACCCTAGAGAGGGGTATTGCTGAACTTAAGAAGAGTTTGTGTGTGGCACACTTAAGAGGCCCTGAAGAGGGAAAAAAGAGGTCTGAGAGCAACCTCAGGCCATGAGGAGGTGTTTAAGAGGTGGCCACCAGCCAGATGATGAAGAGGAAAACTGGCCTCATCCTTAAGGCAGCTGAACAGGAAACTTTAATTCTAGCATTTTTTATCTTTTGAATGGTTGACTTTGCAAACCTAATAAATGAAGGGTTTTTTGAGTTGATAGATAGATCAGAGAGATAGAGCACCAACTTCCACACAATGGTCTATTTAAAATAAACATGTAAAATCTTTAGTTGTACTTAAAAAGGTGTATTTTTACCTCATCTTACCACAGTAAGCTAACACCTCATTAAGGGATGCATTTTAAATATAGAAAATTCCTGAGAAAGGGAAGATACTGCCCCACGGTAACCGTTAACATGTATAAATTCACCTATGGCACCATATTTTTAGAGTGTTTCACCTAGAGCAGGGGTCTCAAACTCCCGGCCCGCAGGCCTCCCTAATGTGACCTATGGGGCTCCAGCAGTTTTGGGGCCAGGTCTCTCCCTTGGCCCCACCTGCCACCCCCAGGCACTCCCCCCTCAGGGGCCCCAGCAGCGCAGCGGAGCTGAGCGGCACCTGCCTGCTTGCTCCAGTGGCTACCGGCCCCTCCCTGCAGCCCAGAAAATTGAGTTTGAGACCCCTGATCTCAAAGTGATAAACTGTGCATAGAGACTGCTCACCCTCTACGGGAAATGCAACCATGTCTGGAGTGAAATACAATCTTAAAACTGGAAGGGACCTCGAGAGGTCATCTTGTACAGTCCCCTGCACTCAAGGCAGGACTAAGTATTATCTAGATCATCCCTGACAGGTGTTTGTCCAACCTGCTCTTAAAAATCCCCAATGATGGAGATTCTACAACTTCCCTAAGCAATTTTTTCCAGTGCTTAACCACTCTGACAGTTAGGAAGTTTTTCCTAATGTCCAACCTAAACCGCCCTTGCTGCAATTTAAGTCCATTGCTTCTTGTCCTATCCTCAGAGGTTAAGAAGAACAATTATTCTCCCTCCTCCTTGTAACAACCTTTTATGTACTTGAAAACTGTTATGTCCCCTCTCAGTCTTCTCTTTTCCAGACTAAACAAACCCAGTTTTTTCAATCTTCCCTCATAGGTCATGTTTTCTAGACCTTTAATCATTTTTCTTGCTCTTCTCTGGACTTTCTCCAATTTGTCCACATCTTTCCTGAAATGTGGCGCCCAGAACTGGACACAATATTCCAGTTGAGGCCTAATCAGCGTGAAGTAGAGTGGAAGAATTACTTTTTGTGTCTTGCTTGCAATACTCCTTCTAATACATCCCAGAACGATGTTTGCTTTTTTTGCAACATCATTACACTGTTGACTCATATTTAGCTTGTGATCCACTATGACCCCCAGATCCCCTTCCGCAGTACTTCTTCCTAAGCAGTCATTTCCCATTTTGTATGTGTGCAACTGATTGTTCCTTCCTAAGTGGAGTACTTTGCATTTGTCCTTATTGAATTTCATCTGATTTACTTCAGACAATAGCTATTCTGTATCAGACTTTCTGCACAGAAGTTTTTGGAAGGAGAATAAACAATTTCTACCAAAATTACAATTTTAAGAAAGACCATGTAATTATCTAAACTGGATATTGGCTAGGACTCTGAGCTTTTGAAAAAACATCTTGTGTTCCTCAGTAATCATGAATGATTATCACCTCTGTTTTACAAGTCACTCAAAAGATGACAACTCGAGCAGCATAGGAACCCCAAAACTATAATGGGACATTGGTGCACTACTGGGTTAGACAGAAGGCTGCTCCCTATAAAATATTTCCACCACTTCCACATGGATTTTCTTTGAAGGCCTCCCATCCACATACTCTGCCAAGAATAAAACCCAAGCTGTAATCTGCTGAGTGGTTGGGGCTACAAAGAAACATCAAAAGTCATTGTGCAGTGCATCTACAAGCCCAGAAACATGACAAACAAAGCAATAACTAGGCTCTTTCGGTCAGAGATGGTCTTCATGAGTTTATACAATGCCCTTCACAATGTGGCTCCAATCCTGACTGCGACCTCTAAAATGCTACTGGAACACAAATCACCACCACCAACCTGACTAAGGTTTACATCAGTCTGCCTTCCACCTTCTTCTACTACATGCAGTTCCTGAAACAGAGCATAAAGGCATATTGTGACTAAGCTAGCACAGCAGAATTATCTTACAATTATTTTACCACCTGAAAGCTTCGTTGTTACTTGGCAATGGCTTCCCATCTTGCAAAAATCTCTTTGACATTTCCCCCCTCTCTACTATACAGAATCAGCACCAGGCATGTACCTGTTCTTTTTGGTAGAGTAGTTGATGTTCCTGCTGAAGCAGATTTTCATAAAACATAGTGTAAGTCTCAAAGTTGCTGCGCTCTCTGGCCATGATGTCACAGCCCAGTGCAGTGAGGCAGTTTTGTAAATGGCTTTTTTTAAACGTAATCTGGAAAAACAAAATAACAACAATAATAATCCCATGATAAACCCAAATTTAAGTTTTTAGTCATTTTAGACATAGCCTGCTATGGTAACACAGGTATTTACATCTATTTCCTGTCCACCTCCGTACTCCACCCCAAGGCTTCTGTACTTTGTTTTGACATATCACATTCCCATATGGGAACTGCCTAGTTTCAGTTTTTCCATTCAATTGGAGATCAGTTGCTCCTCCTATAGAAATTATACTTCAGAGAAAAATAAAACTTTTCTCCCCACCCTACACTTTCCAAAAACCCTGCTGAGCACTAAGAAGGAAAGCTTTCAAAAAGATGAGCAGATTCATCCAGAACATAGGGCTTGTCTACATGTAAAGTTGCATTGGTTTAACCAAAGATGCAATTTTAAACTGATTTAGTTAAACCTGTGCAAAAAGGTATGTGGACCTTCTTGTTTTGGTTTAAACCAGGATCATTCCAGTTTAGTTAAACCATTTAGGATCTAAGTTAAGCTAAATTGAAATCAATGACTCAAACTGAAATAGGAGGGTCCAACATAGGGGTTTGGAGCAGATAAATGAAACCAGTGCAAATTTGTGTGCAGACAAGACCTTAGCTCCATAAGCTCACTTGTAGATCGGAGAGCTCTGAGGGAAATTTCTCCACACGATTTGGATGGGGAACGGGCTTACCGCTAGGAACCAAGCAATGCATCTCAATACTGAATCACATTTCAATGAAAACAATGTAGAGGTCTGATAATGACCTAATATTTCATTATAATTGAACATATATTTATAAAATACCTTTCATCCCTAAAGATCTCCAAATTATGAATTTAAGCTAAATAAAGGGATTATTTCATCTGCCATGAAACTGCCCTCTTCCCTCAGGGTGAAAAACAGCAACATGTGTGACAAATCCATGTGTTGTAGAGAACAGACTATTACTATATAAACCACAAACATCTCTAAGAAACTAAAACTAAAACTAAAAGCCTTGTCCTTTGGCTCCGAAAACACAGGCGTCTTTGGCTGTCAGGACAGCCCTTACATTCTCTGTGAGCCTTCTGTGAGAAAGCAGTGTTACATGCACACACGAAGCACATTACAACTATACAACATGAGAAAGGAATACCTTTTCCAACTGAAACTGCAACAAGAATTTTTAGGTATGAAAAATGTAATTACCAACTTGGAAACTGGCCAAGACATTGGGACCAACACCCCCACTCTCAGAATGAATACATCAGTTCTTTAATGACTTAAAGTGGCAACAGAGTACTACCTAACACCACACAGAGACACTGATTTACCGTACCAACTCAGAAGGAAGAGTTCTGCCTTTTGAGTCCCCAACACTACTTTCCTATAGTTGCTTAGAAGCCTCTAATCCCAGTACTAATTCTGCCTGACCTTACTACAATTGTGAGATCTGAACAAATCACATTACAAGGTGGCCAGTGTCGTACGTAACACACAAGCTCACATTCCTAACATAATCTGAACGTAAACTCATAAATTTAAGAGAGGGTGTTTCCCTTGTGCGTCACTGACTGACACAGGTTTTAATAAATAAAGATGTAAATAAAGATTAGCTATGCCTGGATAGAAACACAGTATATGTACCTCTACATCAGATTCTTGGTAATTTTCCATTAGTCTCTGAACAAATGTTTCGACTATTTGTGGTCTTACAACTGAGAAGTTTTCTTGCATGACTCGATGCTTCCAGAGCTCTGGAGGAGCAAGGGGAAAAAAAAAAAACAATACATCAACAGATGTCTGTCACAAAATATTGATCCCTCTTTAATCCCTGTAAAATGATACCATGTGCAATTTGTGGTTTAGGATTTCTCAATCTTTCTAAAAATATATGCAACAGAAGGTAACCATCACCACAAACAGATTATATGATTCTGTGCATCGGGGTGTTAGATACATTGTGTCAATAGGGCTAAAATACATTTTTGTTATGGGCCAGGTCCACCAGTTAGGGTCCTATCCACAATTGATCACTCACTGATAATAAGAGCTTTGCATGAAAATTGAGAGTAGAACATGGCTTTTTATGTAGTAACTAAACGTTTGGGTAGAAAATTACAGTTGCATTCAACACCAGTCAGTGGGAAAAAATAGTGCCAGCCACTTTTAGAACTACCATTATTTCCACCACTTGCCTGTTCGACCATTTGTGCATGCACTTACCGGATCTGCACATACAGTTATGTTAAATGTATAAATTACAGTGCATAGTTATGAACTTAAATTACTTGGAGGTCTGGCTTTTAAAGTGTCATCATTTGGCTTAAGCATTGACACCTCAATGAGATAAGTGGGAGCAGTTTCAAGCTGTCTGCAGACTCGGGAAGAAAAGTTTGAGTTAGTTTGGTGCACACAGCTCATATCTGGAAAGATTTCTTTGCAATAATTATGGTTAAAACTTGCTTTATAAAAATAAAGTCAAAGCTTAGATTCTGCAGCATTTGAATCTGGGTGAGCAGGCTGGATAAGTGTCAAGTGGGCCAGGTGCTTGAAACCCCAGTGTACAAGTTTTCATCACATGGTGGCATAGTCAAGGTATGGGCATTTTCACATGAAGGGCTGGGCTTTATCAAAACCTGAAGGGACTTTTTATGTGATGATGGTAAATTTTCACCAATGATTTCACTGTATGTGGGCCAAATTGTTCCTGGCTCTTGAATGGGTGCAAAGGGAAGCAGGAAGGATACACAGGAACCTTACCACCCTGCACAAGGGCTGGGTAGAATCCTTGCACTCCACCCTCCATGTGCCACTAGGGATGCATGTTCCCCAATGGGAAAGTGGATGGAAGCAGCCCTGCTCCCCGTATTAGCTACAAAACTGGTAAGCCTACTGTAACTTCCAGAGCTCCCACGCATATGTAAAGGCTGTAGGATTGGGCTTCCCATGTTTGGCATGCTTCCTATGCAGGAAAGAGATGGGGAGGCTAGATATAAAAATGCATTTTGTGTTTTAACACCTTACCTGTAGGAAGGCCACTTCCTGCTCTTGCTCTTTCAGATGTAACTAGTGTCATCTCCTGGTTAATTTTCTTTTTCACATCCTGGATCATGTGTAGTTCTAGACTTTCCAGCAGGTTCTGAAGCTGTAGTAAGTGCACAGTACATTGTTCACTTTAAATCTCTATGCTTGTTACACCTCATCTGCTCTGCTTTGCCAATTTTCAGTTTTTTAAAAAGTGACTTTAAAAAACCCCCAGTGTGTAGGAGTGAAGATCAGATATTTTAGGGAAGTTATATTGTGTCCAAGTCTGTACCATGAGTACTCTGGGGGTCAGATTCACTAGTCCATTACAGCTGCTTTATGCTGCTCCAGGGCGCTGAGTCGTGGGCCTTGCAGCACAGGTCCCAGTTTGCTTGAACTATCCATACAGGTGACCCTATTTAGGCCCCCCCATGGGTTTTAATGGTTCCATGTCGGTCAACAGCACTCCCCTTGTGCAGTAATAGTCCTCCTTTACCTGCCGTGTTTTGACTTCAATTTCTGATGCTCCTTTTGGGGGAAGTATAGACTGAGAGCTTGTTACAAGTCCTTCAAACTCATCTTCTGTGCCCATCTGCCTGGCAATGGCTCTCATAGCAGGGTATAGGATGTCAGTGCTAAAGAAATCCAGACCAAGATGTTACAGATATTCCCTCTCAACAGTATTTTCAGTCTCTTCTGTATTTCTCTCTTTCGGGCCATACGTACCTTCACCCTCCCCTCCCCCGACACACAAGCATTGGGACTCATTTCACTATCCCCTGTCACCCTGTCGGGAAGCCCTGTTAGCAGAGCAGGATTTTCTGTGTGGACCGATCATATGATACTGAATCTCACATAACATCACTTCTTTTTTCAATAGTTATAGAAAACTAAAAATTCAGTGGATGAAGCAGGAAGAGCAAAAACAAAGCAGAGAGTTCTGGTTGCTAGTATGAACTTCTCCCCTGACAACCAAATAGATGTAGACACCCCCATGCTACATTCTCGTATCTGATTGCATTTGCTAGGTAGAAACAGTGCCAGCCTCCCTTCAGTCGTCAGTTCCAGCCTGAATACTGAAAGGGCCCTTTATGTCTCCAAACAACAAGAGGAGCAATTGACAAAAGGGCACAGGTACCAGGTTACATTTGACACCATTGATCGCATTTGACACACATGAAGAACTTGAAAACCTCATTTGCTCGAGATGAGTGGAAGCTTTTCCTGGTGAATGGGGTGAGTGCAGTGTTTTACCATCACTTTCCACAGAGCTGTTGTTTCCATTCACAAAATATATACACCAAGATTCAACAAAGTGGTCCCTAAACCCAGCACAGATAGATCACCCTGGCATAGAGAAATCCTCCGCTGGCACAGAGTTGGCATAGGAACTGCTACACTAATACCGCCTCTGCAGGTGTGAGCGAAGGGAATATGGGAAAGCCGGGAGGGGGGTGAGGGAGGAAGGAGCTTGGCTGTACCCCAGCGATCATGACTACCACATCAGTCCCTTGGCAGCTGGCACAAATTAGCATAGCCCTGAAACAGTGGGGGCAGAGTAAGAGAGTGATTGCTGGAGCCCAGATGTGTGGGAGAAGTGCCCTGCCACACATTTAGCGTGAAGAACCCATGCCCCCAGCTCCCCAGCACTCCTCCTGAAGAGTTTCAGAATGCTGTAGGAGCAGGTTGAGCTCAAGTGCTCTACATGTTCCTGGAACTAGGGTCTCTCCCCCCCTGCAGAATGTATAAGCTCTACAGGGGGCAGAGATCCCAGTCCCAGGAAGCATACAGATCTTACCAAATCCCCACGCTATACCAGTAAGTGGGTCTGGGTATTGCAGGTGGGTCTTGCTCCTGCAGCTCACCAGCCCTGGCAATTTCTTCTCTTCTTCCGGATGAGCAATGAAGAACAGCCCCCTGCTCTCTAGGTTACATTATATCACCAGATTCTCGCCCCCTTCTCTGGCCTGCACTGTGCTGAGGAGCCAGATTAGGCCACCTGAAAAGTCCCCTGACATGGGGGAGTCCTAAACTGGCATGGCTTGCTCATATGCCACCCTTCCGCTCTGGACTCACCATAGGGATGTGCTAGGGAAGGAGGGAGTGTGGCAGGAGCATTACTGCATGTTAGCTATGCTCAGCTGGCAGATGGCTCCTTGAGAGCATTTACTTGCTAGCACAGGTGAGTATAGCTCACAGACTGCTCTACAGTACGTCAGATCTGAGGTCAGCATTGGACTAGTTTGAAAACTAGAAAGCTGACAGCCCCACCCTGCTGCACAAAGCAGAGACTGGGCACAGTAGAAAACCGGCATACCATTCTACTCAGATATGCTTCTGTTCAGGGATTTGTAGATGTAAATTGGGAAGTCTGCTTTTATGTAAGTATAAATAACAATGATATCTTAGTATCTCTTCTCTCAAGTCACTACAGATAACAGTGAGTCGGTATTTCTATTGTAACTTGCTAGATTAACAACAGGGTTATACCAGCAAGTAGGGGCATAAAATTGACATCTGAGTGATCTCAGGATAATCTGAAGATAGCAACACAACATGTCTCACAGGAACAGTACAATGGAGGTATTCAGTGGCACTTTGATATCTGATGACTAGAATAGAGAGAGACCTGATACCAGCTTGTTAAAGGAACAAACTAACACATTAAGACAAAAATGTTTTGGATTTGCAAGGACACAAACAGACACATCTTCTCTGCCCCATTTTGTGAGAATCCTGTTTTCCGATATCACCAAAACTCCCCGCTACCTAGACTGTATTACTGCTGTGTTATCCAGCAAACTTTTATTTTCATTATGTTGCTCATTTTGTGTGGTGTTTAGATGCTGCTTGTGATTATTAGAACTGGGAGCACTGGCTGTTGGGAGTCTGAAAGGACAGGAAACAGGAAGGAGGGGGGAGGAGTTGAGGAGGCTGAGTGAGAGTTACAGAGGGTGCAGCAGCAGCTTGGTAAAGAGGTTTCCACTGTAAAAATAAAGTCCTGTTGAAGTTTGTTAGTACCTTGCCTGGTTGATACAACATTTTGGTAATAAATTTTATTTCAGGGGACCAGGAGGGCAATGCATTATCACATTTTTAAAAAAGATATAGTTTTAGGCTTTTAGTAAGTGTCCCTTTAAAGAAAACTTGCCAGATTTTCAAATGCACATTATTCAGGCCAAGCCAAGTGGGAGGATTAGGAAGAATCCTGGTACATTTCCACTTCATTAAAAATCAGCTTCAGGAATGTCAATTTTTAAAAGTACTGTATGTAACATTGATCTGAATGTCCTAAAGAGACAGGTAGAAATAATAGTGTCACTGAAAGGCCACAAGAATACATTTGGAACAACCTTACTAATGAACAATTCAGGGAGAAAGAAGATCAGAGCAGGTCAAAAACTCTATTCTAAAGAGAAAGCAAAGGTATTAGAATAGTTATCAATTTTGTACCAAACTAAAGAAAGGTAGAACTAAAACAGAGCAAATTGAAACAGGATAAGAATAAGAGAACAGTGTGAAGAACGGTACAGGCATTTATTGTTTTTAACTTTCACAACCACTCCAGTCTAGAATACTTTTACATCAGAATGAAACTCACCCATATAGCTCAGCAAACTGTTTGTAAAGAGGAACTGTATTGATATCCTCGACTTTCAGTTTAAGTCTACCCCATTCTGCCTTTAATACTTCCAACTGCTTCCATGTTATCAGAAAAGATCTCAGCAAAGCACGTGAAGTAACTGGATCGTGCAGCCTTGGCGGAGCTTTGCAAGTCTTTCTGCTGCTCTCTGACCAACTGGCATGTGATTCATCAACTTCTGCCAAATTCTAATGAAATTATTATAGGAGACATATTTTGTTACAATCTCAGCTCATACACTTATTGTTTAATAAAATGAGATAAGCCACTGTACGCTTGTTAGAGATCGGATTAAAAACAAACAAACTTGCAACCCACTATAATTGTTTCCATACACTAGTGTCCTACAAAATCTAGTGGAGATAAAATCCTGGCTATTTTTTCATTTCAATGAGCAGACTATAGAAAAGACAAGGCTAACACACACACACACACACACACACACACACACACACACACACACACACCTTTCATCTTATTGCCACTTTCCTTGAGTCAGTTGCCTCAATAAAACTCCCTGCTGGGTTGTTGACAAAAATATCTTTAAAAACTCAGATTCTCAGCTCAAGTCCTGAAGGAAACATGCCCCTATTAAAAAATAAATAACTCGTTCTCTTTGCACATTTCTCCACATTCACACTTCCTGACACTATCACTGTACACTTACGTGTTCACTAGCCGGTAGGTTTATCTGCTTTCCATCAGAAATGGCTTGAATCTCAGCCCATCCCCTGAACCAAACCTTTGTGGTAGGTTCTGGAAAGGCTTAATGCTCCCCAATGACCATTCACTACATTTTTATCCATTGTTCAAATGTTACTGGAAGTACAGCCTGAGGACCCAGTCCTCTTCTTAACTATCAGTCCTCATTATACAAGGGGGGCAGGCCTCTCTGCACTGAGCAGCTCTTGTTAAAGGGACAGATAAGTGTCTCACCCTCTAGTCCTCTGAGGCACAGGTGGGGAAAGTGAAGAGGCCCTGCTTTGTCCCCCAGTTTCTGATGGCAGCAAGTACAGCAGCTGGACGGTGGGCACCAGCAACCCTTCTAATGGGCTCCGTCACTGTGGCTCTCCTCATTCTCAGCTGCACTCTAAAAGCTTCTTTGAAACACATTACATCCCATCATTGCAGTATAACTATATGGGACTAAAGGCCACTTTTTTATGCTACACTCCCAGGATTCACTGAAGTCTAAGGGAGTTTTTCATAAGAGCTGTGCAGAGAGGCAGAGTGGTCGCCCACCCAGGCTGCCAGGGAGGAACCACTCCCCGCCCTCTGCGGTGAGCCAGGCCAGGCCCGCCCTTCATGCTGGAAGCAGAAAGGCAGAAGAGGAAGTATAAGAGGCAGGGCCTCCAGCTCAGGGCAGCAGCCTACCCACCTTAGGCTGGATGGCTTGTGTGCGTTTGCTGCCTGCCACAGTCAGAGAGCTGGGCTATAGACTGCTCCTGCTCTGCCTTGCTCAGAGGGCTTGAGCCTGGCAGTGGCCATGTCTACACAACCACTTATGTCAGCAAAACTTCTGTCATTCAGGGGTGTGAAAAAGAACACATCCCAGAGCGACATACATTTTGCCGGCATAAGTGGTAGTGTGCACAGCACCAGCTTCTTCCACCAACATAATTACCGCTGCTTGTTGGGAGTGGTTTAATTATGTGGACAGGAGAGATCTCTCCCATTGGCACAAAGCAGCTACACGAGAGATCATACAGCAGCGCCTGTGTTTGCTGTCTGCCCCAGCCAAAGAAGCTGGGCAACAGACTGCTAATTGCCCTGCCCCGCACCAACGGACCCTAGACTCTTTAATGACACTTACCACATTCATTCCCTGACAAATGGCTATCAGCTGCTAGGGGAGCATAGCGAGGCGGAATGGCCTCCCTCTGAGGCGGACAGGGAGGAACCACTCCAAGCTGTATAGCCTAAATGAATTACTTTGTCAGAGGTACCTGTTTTTTCTTAGCTACAGCAGTTTGCCATTCAGCATGATCTTCCATAACATCATCATAGCTACTCTGCAGTATATCCTCCATTAGAAACTGCATCCCGACCAGCTCCCCATGAGCAACTCTTCGGTCGTCATCACTCAGTCTGCACAGGCACAACTAGAGGAGGAGACACACAGCTGGTGATTTTTCTAGGTTACCCAGACAGATCTCAGTGAGTAACTATGGTAATGAGTTATTGTTAGTACAATTACTTTAAAAGTCATCCATCCATTTGTATGAACAGATGGATTCTACTGGAAGCCTCTGGCACTGTGGACCTAAAAGTCATGGAAGAACTTTGTTACCCAAGCACAACATCATTGTGGTAGCTGCAGGAGAACTAAAAAATGAAATTGCCTAGTTCAATTTCATTGTCCAAGAGCAGCAGTTTTTTAAATAAACAAACAAATGGTGAATGGTAAAATAATTTGGGTTTTTTAAATGACAAAATAATGTGTTACTATCAAAGGGAAGGACTTGTTTTAATGCAGAACAATTATCATATTGTCACTGTGCCTTTGGAGACAGGCACAGTAACTTTTGGATGTACAACAAGTAGCAGTCACCATACCTGCATGTTATAATTTATGGTATTTAGATTGTGGATAGTGACTGGAAACGGTCCTCCATCTACTAGAAATGCCCTCCAAGGAAACAGTGTCAATGTCTAAAACAAATTCAGATAACATTCAGAAGCACAAAAATAATGTTCAAACAATAATAAAGGTCTCATCTAACTTGAGCTGAGGAAGGAAATTACAGTGCAGGCTGCTGCTTAGTCTGTAATATACCATGCTCTGACTTCTTTGCATGAGTTGCAGATAAGTGTTTAATTGGAACTATATAGGATGTACTAGGACTACTGAGACAACAATGGGATGAGTTAAGGGACTGTTCTCTTTACCCTACATTTCCTGGATTATTGGAAGCTGGTGTCAGATTTAACATTACTTTCACATTTTTTAAAATTTCATTATCTTTGGGTTTTACCAAACTATATTGAAAGAAAGGAGGAGTTCAGTGGTCATACGTTGACAGCACTATGCTTAGGCATTAAAGGCAAAATCCTGCCCTCTGTAGCACGAGAGAGAGAAGAGGGTGCAGGGACCCCATTCTTCTTCTGAGTACATCCCTGCAGAAGCTGGGCAGCGTTCCAGTGCAGTGCTTGTGCGCACCAGGAGAGAGGAAAAGCTAACACACCCACTATTATTCTTCACACAGGGCAAATCTCATTCTTCACTTGTTCTACATAATGGCTCAGTATGATCATTTAGAGCAGGGGTTCTCAAATTTTAGCAACCAGAGGATCCCCATTTTGATTTAAAAATTTTCACAGACCCCGAAACCGGCTTCTAATTTTCCCCAGGAGTGCTCAGCCCCAGGCCTCGCCCCCACTCCACCCCTTCCCCCAAGGTGCCATCCCTGCCCCTCCTCTTCCTGACCCGCTCCAACCCTGCCCCTCCTCTT